CTCACTCCTCATGAGTCAAACAAAGAAACTCTCCCGAAGTTTGCTTTTTTTCTTGAACTTTGAATTTATGTTTGTTTTTCGATTTGAGATTGTTCTACTTTATAAATTACTAGAAATAGTATGACTGACTCTTTTTGGTCTTTCCTTTTTGCAACATCAAAAATTTAACGGGTGTGTTTGTTTTATTATTTTGAGTAGTATTTTTAAAATATTATTGTTAAGTTAAGTTGGGTTATTATTATGAGGTAGGATTTAAAAATTAACAAAAAAAACCCTAGGTTTGTTAATTTAACTAAACACTCCAATAATAAAAAGTTTATAAATTAACAAAAACACTCTACCCATCCACAGTTGCTAGATTCCGGCCACCACTGTCAGAATTTGACCGGAATCTGGTGTCATTATGCATAATCAGCCAAATCTGGTCGGTCATGCATCACTATAGCCTTTTCTGACCAAATCCACCACGAATCTGGCTAGAAAAAGCCAGATCTATAGCCAGATCTGGCTGTTGATGGCCAAATCTGGCTACATTTGGCCGTCAACGATGGCCAAAGATATGGTCGTCGTTGACGGTCAACGACGACTATATATTAACCGTCAACAACTAGATCTTTGGCTGTGGATTTGACATTTTCGAGCTAGATTGACGTACTACCGACTATATCTAGCTAGTAGTGCACCATTATGCCAGATTTTGGCCACCTTTCGACAGTGATTCCCTAAATTTGACAAATGTAGGTGGATAAGGGTGTTTTTGTTAATTTATTAAAAAAATTGTTAAGAGTGTTTAGTTAAATTAATAAACCTATACGGGTTTAAAATAATTCAATATTATAGAATATGATTTTGAGAATATTGAAACAAACGCACGTTTGTTCAGAATAGGAATATAATATTTTGAAAACAGGAAACAAAGGCAGCCAACATTTAATTAAAGGGAGAACGGCATGTTCCCACCCAAAGTTTGGTAAAACGATACTTTTCCACCCATAGTTAAGAAACGTGCGTAAAATCTATTGATAATCAATACAAATATGAAAATACCCTTTAATCCAAATCCATATCCAAACTAAAAAAATTTATAAAAATTATTAAAAAAAAAAAAATGAAAAAAAGTTGCCCAGCGAATCCAGCCAACTTAAAAATCTTCAAGTTCTTCACCTCCCAAAAGAAAAAATCCCAAACCCCCTCTCATCTTTCTTCCTTACTTATTTTCCACTAAAACATCATCAATAGAGAGGGCATGAATAAAAGATTTAGCACGTTTAATCTTTGTACAATTATGGAAGTATTTGGAACATCTATCTCCTTATTTTAACCAAGAAACCCGAGATTTCTCCCTCCAAAAAGTATGCTAACATTGAAGAGCTTCCACCAGGTTTTGTTTAACTTTAATTTCTTCCTCAAAACCTTCAGTAGTATAAGGCATCTGTGAATTGAAAAGCTGCACCTAGGTAAGAGGCAACCTGGCCTTCTCCACTTTTGAATGAACATCACCAAAAACATTTTTATTCCAATGCTTGAGACATTCTTTTAGGGCACGCAATTTGGAGCACACCACCCCAAAATTCTCCACCCCCTTTTCTTTTGGTGCCCTAACCTTTGTCATCGCTGCCCCAAAATCCTCCACTATAATGACACAACCTCTACAAAATCAACCACCATCGCTACCGCATCAAACGCAATATCTACAACCTCCACAACAACAACAACATCCACCACGACTTCTAGCATGAGCGAAGGTGACGCGATCTTTAAGTTTTCCAGATGTAAACTTTGAGATCTCGTTTGATCGGATTCAGCCATCCACTATCGCCAATGGGTTTTGGGGTTGAAGGATTTTGGGGAAGAAGGGTGTAAAGGTTTGAATTTAGGGTTTTTGTTTTTCTCTTAAGTATATATATAGGGGATAAAATGACATAATAGCCCTTTAACTGTTTTTTGAATTTACCGTTTTATCTTTCTTTAGTTAAATTAACAGACGGTGGGTGGGAAACCGTCTTTTTGGAACTTGGAGGGTGGGAAGGCCAAACCTTGGGTGGGAAAAGGTCGTTCTCCCTTAATTAAATTTTTGCCCGTTTAACTTCTTCTTTTAGGCCTTTTAGCGTTTTAAAATTAAACTCAGGCCCATTAACAAGCCCAAATCGACCTCACCTGATTGACCCGAGCAGTTCAATCGGGTTGGGTTTGACCAACCCGAAGCCGAGTTTGCCCACCTATATTGCTTTTTGTTATTGTTGGTGACGGTGGACTTGGAGATTTTGATTTATTTTCTATTATTTTTGGATGTTGAGGATGGTGGATGTGTGGGCTTTGATTTGTTATATTTGTGGATGATGATAGTGGTGGATGGACTTTCTTTTACGTTTGAGCTTTTTGGTCGGTGCTTGATGGTGATGGATTGTCACGGCAGGTATTGACGACAAGCGTTGTATTTTTTGGTTATTTTAATTTTTTATTATTTCAAAAAATAAATATTAGTATTATTTTCAATTTTGTAAAAGTGATATGAGGAACCATACTTAATTTTAGTCATTGACTTATTTTTGTAACTATAGTGGGGATGAAAGAAAAAAAAAAAAAGCTGTCGTCCTTGGGNTATCATAACCAAAATTTGGAATATTATAACGTGTTATCTAAAAAATATGTTTACTATAATATACAAAACCTATTTTCACTTAGAAGCTATGAACAACTGAAAATCAATAAAAATAATTAAACAAACGGACCCATATATAGTATTAATAAGGGTGTGTTTGTTTTATTATTTTGAGTAGTATTTTTGAAATATTATTGGTAGGTAAAATTGAGTGATTATTATAAGGTAGAATTTAAAAATTAAAAAAAAAAAAAAAAAAACCCTCTAGGTTTGCTAATTTAACTTAACACACCAATATATAAAATTTTATAAAATGACAAAAACACCCCCATCACACACAATTGCCAGATTCCGACCACCACCACTGGAATCTGGCGTTACGGCACCGAGATGGCTTTTTCCAGCCAGATCTACGACCAGATCTGGCCGTGTTTGGTCGTCAACGACAGCCAAAGATATGGCCATCGTTGATGGTCAACAACGGTCATGTCTTGGCCATCGTTGAAGACCAGCTACGACCAAATATCTGATCGGTAAATGATAGATCAGCGCACTACTAGCCAGATCCAGCTAGTAGTGCTCTATCATATGAGATTCCGGCCACTTTCCGACGGTGGTAGTCGAAATCTAGCAAATGTTGATGGGTGGGGGTATTTTTGTTAATTTCTAAACGTTTTTTAAGGGGTGTTTAGTTAAATTAATAAACTTAGGGAGTTTAAAATAGTTGAATAAAATATAATAATATTTTCAGAATAGGAAAACAAATGTGTATTTTGAAAATAGTATTTTTTTCTTTTGAAATATTACATTAGTTTTTAAGATAATATACAAAATTTTGTTTGAAAACATTTAACTCATTTTATGAAACACATTATTCATAAGACCTTTTCTATATATATATATATTGGAAAATGATACACCCACTCTTCTCACAAACTTTCTTTCACAACCCTGACATGACAATTCGTAATTAGTTAGCTAGTAATGGATCTCACCTGATAAATTATAACAGATCAATTGTGAACTACCATATCGGGATTGTGAAAAAAAATTTGTAAGAAGAAATTTTGTGAGCAGAGATTGTGGATGTAACATTAATATTCCATATCAAACAAGCCACTACTATGAAATCCTTTGTAGTTCATGTTTTCCTTTGTAAAAGACAGAAATAGAAAGTGAAAACGAAAACGAAAACGAAAATGACAGTGAACGTTGTATGAATATGTTTCAGATTAGGTTATTTCCTGTTGTCATTATCGGTAGAATGCACTCAGAAAATCTCATATTGCCTGTATGGCATTGTTTTTTTCACCCATATTTAGTCTCTTGTAATAATAATGCAAGCTGAAACACATATTTTCCAAGCTCAAATACAGAAAGTGAGAACGAAGACGATAGCGAACGAAAACGAAAATGATGGTAAACGTCGCTACCTAACATGTTTGCTTAGGCTCCTGTTAAGAAAAATGCATTTCAAAACATTACAAACATTCATATTGCCTACACAACATTATTCTCACCTAGATTTGATCTCTTGTTAGTATAAATCCAAGCTTAAATACACTGCTATAATCCAAAAGTGCTTCTTCATTGGCCTTTACCGTTATCAGACAAGTTTCAACAATTAGACTGGAGACGAAACGAAAACACAACACAAAATCGACCAATCTATCAGGTTGAAACTGGCTCAGTAATGTTACTAGGACAAGAAGGGAGCAACCCCGGCATATAAATCACGATTATACAGCGAGATTTCAAATGGGATAGCCAAAACACAAATGCTGAAGCCATGCAACAGAGAATGCTAAAATGTTACAAAATTGTGACACTGATTCAGATTGATTCGACGACAAAAGCTTAAAGATAAGGATTATGTCCTCAAAATACAACCAAATAACCCTGGTTGTATGCAGAAGATTCATACTGATCCATCACCACTCAGGTGAACACTCAAAATATTTGGATGCTTTAAAATGAACCTAGCCCAGCAATGCAACTGTGTTCCTAAACAAATGAACGCTTTAGGATGAACCTAGCACTGCAATGCAACCATGTTCCTGAACAAATAAAGAAGCAGGCACCAAGAGGATTATTCATTTATCAGAAATGAAATTCCGATGATAAGATGCTACCGTTGAGAGCATCACAAACCAAGTTCCTCAAACACAAATTTGCATGTATGCACTTTTATATACATGACGCCTTTTTCAATGCAAGAAATGAAATCAAATTCTCTCGGACATATACATTGCCTAAACCCTCAATTTCTGAATACAAGTTGCATCCTCACAATATAATAAAAGATATTTTCCGCGCAGTCAATGAACCAACACAAGAATTAATGAAACAAGAGAAAAAAGATAGCAATAGAACCATACACAATCAAAGCGAGAACTCAAAGCTATGAAATTACTACTAATTGATATATAACCAAATGTATTTGACATCAAATTCCATATGCAATAAACAGAAACAACCAAACTGTACACAAACAACAATAAAAGTACCAAAGCGACAGTAGCAACTTATTATCTCTAACACAATTCTTCATACACCAAACCACCACCATCCCGTGCCCCCCATCATATCTTCTCAATCTTATCAGCCTTCACCACCGGATTCGCCTTCGCAATAGCATCCTGCCCTGCGCCCTTGTAATCAAACACACAGTTATGCTTATCCGAGTATCGATGCATCGAGCAAAATGTCTGCCCACACCGACACTTAAACCCCGTCAATCCGACCCGTTTCTTGCAAAAATTGCACCTATTCGCGGGTCGTTTCTCCGCATTTCCATCCCCATTCTCACTCTCTACATTCCCCGACGACGCCCCCTCGCTCGCAACACTCTCTTTCACCCCAGCACCGCCCTCTTTCTCAACTGGGTTCGTCTCAATTTCCTCTACAATCGAGTTTTTCACGCTCTTTTTTGATTCTTCATCGAAGATTTTGGGTTGTTTCAACAGATAATCTTTGTAGCACTTTGAACAAAGATTATTGGTGCTTGAACTCCCAAAGAATCCACAATTATTTGCACATAAATTTGGAGTATTTTGAGGCTCAATTTCATGACTAGTCTCATCTAGCTTTCTCTTTTGAGATTCTTGTTCCATTTTTTGCTTCAATTTATCAACAAGCAATTTAATTTAAATTTAAATTTTTAAAAACTATATATAAAAATCGAACTTTTTTTTTTCTTTTTTTTTTTTAAGGAAAAAAAAAAAGAAAACTAAAACCCTGACATATAAATCAAATTAAATCATAATTCAAAAGCTAGAAAGAATAAATAAAACTGAAACTCAATGAAAACGGAAACATAAGCGATCAAGGGCAACATACACGGATTTGAGGTGGGGGATTTATAGATCGGAGATTGTACGGACGGGAACAACGGTTGAGATTTGCTTTGATGAGGGATTGTGGAGTGACGATGATGAAGAAAAAGTAGCAGCGGATTGAGAGAGAAAGAGAGAGAATCTATGGAAGGTGGAACCGTGGACGGGAAGAGGATAAATATATATATATATATATATTTATATATATTTTAGGAAACTTATTTTTTTTAGTTATTATCGTAGTCCCTAAAGATTACTTTAATTTTAAAATACCCACTGGTTCTGGAATTTGTTAAAAATCTCTCAATTGATTGGCGTGATTACAAAAATCCCCTAAAAATTGGGTTTGTTTGGTTTAATATTTTTTCCAATCCTACTAATACTATTTCCAAAATATACGTTTGTTTCATATTTTAAAAATATTATTATATTTTATTTAACTATTTTTAAACCCTCTAAGTTTATTAATTTAACTAAACAACCCCGAAAAAGTTTAAAAATTGATAAAAACACTTTCACCCATTCATATTTGCTAGATTTCGACCACCACCGCTAGCAGGTGACCGGAATCTGGTATAATAGTCCACTGTTGGCTGGATCTAGCCGATAGTGCACCGATCTAGCATTTACCGGCTAGATCCACGGTGGATTTAGTCAAAAAATGTCCAATCTTTGATCGTAACTGGTCTTCAACGACGGCCAAGATATGAAATTTGTTAAAAATCTCTCAATTGATTTACGTAATTACAAAAATCCCCTAAAATTACAATAAAAAACCTTCCCAAAAATATGAAAAATAAAGATGTCAAAAAGGTTCGGCTNATCTAAGTGATTTGAATTCAATCCTCGTGTTTCATATGTTTCTCATGGAAATTGAAGACAATTCAACGAGTGTAAACCATTCATGCAACCTATGAAAACACATTATAAACCTCAAGAAATACTACATGTACAACAAATCTTGTTTCAATTATGTCAAATTTTTCTTTTATGAAAATCAATCAATTTCATGCACGCATTTGGGGAATTTGTTAAAGCACATGATAAATTTTATAAACCATTTATGGTGGAGCCATTTTGGGTCCTTTAAAAATTTGCAAAAATAGTTATAGAAAGTAGAAACCTTTTTTACTCACAAAATTTCAAGAAATGTTTATAATGATTTTCAAAATTTTCGTGTTAAAGGAGATCAATCGATATTACTTCCTCGTATATTTTTCTAAATCAGGGTACTATTAATTCGATAGAATTTTTCGCTTTACCCTCGGTTTTTATCACAAAATATATATATAATTAATTGTAAATATTACTTTCAATTTAGACTCGTTAAGTTTAATTTATGTGTATAATTTTGTGAAATAAAATTAATTTGTTGACTAGGTAGGAATCAACTCATGGAGGCCTAACTCGTAAGTAAGTCAATGGCTTGGACTCTTGAAGCATAGAGAAAAACAAAAGGATCACACTTTTTGTTTAACTTTTCAAACTCTATCATATCCTATTATCATATCCAATCCAGTGAAATACATATTTGTTTTACTACTGAATATTCAATTCAAAATCCAATCTTATTCTATTTAACTCAAAACATTTAACAATTACTTTTTTTAATAAAAGTTTACAAATTAACAAAAACACTCCCACTCCTCTAACTATTGCCAGTAGCCGTCAATCTGGCCGAATCTAACAGCCATATTTTTTATTGTCATCAATGGCCAAATCTGCCTATTTTTGACCAGATCAGGGCACGATCGGCCAGATCCAGTTGATCATGCACCATTCCGGTGACTTCTGACCACCATCCAACGGTGCTGGCCGACTGTGGGCAATAGTTGGATAGGTGGGGGTGTTTTTGTTAATTTATAAACTTTTATTGTGGTGGGTGTTTAGTTAAATTAACAAATGTAAGGGGTTAAAAATAATCTAGATATTTTTAGACAATATTTTTTAAAGATGTATCAAACACATTCTTAGAATCCTATCATATTTGATTAAATCATAATAAGAATATAATATTATTCTAAACACTTAAACAAACAGATAATTTTATGAAAAACCCATTAAATTAAAATTCTTGAAAAGGGTATCCAAAGTATATACTAAAAGAGAGAATTATTTTTTGACTCTTTGTCACGAAATTATATGTCATAGTTTATTGGATGTATGCACCAATTTCAAACCTTATTATATCACATATAATTACTTTGTTAGAAAATGAGAACTTGGTAACTTGTAATGGCAAACATTAGTTATAATGGCAAAAGACTTTTATGACATGATTCATCTCCCTCATTTAAAGGTAGGGACAAATCTGTGAGCTTTTTTGTTAATAGAAAAATATTAAGTACAACGATGGTATCCCATCATCCATAATCAGACTCAATAAATTTATGTATGTATTGTGTTACTCATATGTTAAGTTATACATTAATCAATGTATTTTTGTTGCCGGGAGAAAAATCTTAGATTGCGATTGTTTTAATACTATTTAATCAAATAGGATAGGATTATAAGAATGTGTTTTATAAAATATTTAAATTATTTTTTGCCCCCTATTTTTATTAATTTAACTAAACACCTCTTACAATAAAAGTTATATAAATTAATAACAACACCCCCACGCACCCAACTATTGTCGACAACTGGCCACCACCGTTGGATGGTGGTCGAAAGCCGCCGAAATGGTGCACACCAACTGGATTTGACCGGTCGTGCGCTGATCTGACATTTTTTATGGTAAAAAACAGGCCGTTAAGAAATTTGGCAGTCGTTTGACCATCAACGAAACGGCCAAATCTTTGGCCGTAGATTTGGCCGTTTCTAGCAAGATCCAGATCCATGATAAATCTTGCCAAAAACAGCCATATCGACGCACGACTGATCAGAACCAGCTGATCGTGCATCATTTTAGTCACTTTTGGCCACCGTTTGACGGTGGTGACCAACTGGTAGCAATAGTTGGGTGGGTGGGGCTGTTTTTGTTAATTTATAAACTTTTATTAAGAAAAGTAATTGTTTATATGTTTTAAGTTGAATAGAAAAATAATTATTTTATTAGATTGGATAGGATAGTATTTAAAATTTTAAACAAACCGCAGCCTTAAGTAGAACAAGTTTGTCATATTATATATAATCTAGTTTGATGAAACCTTACGTATATATTTCAATATTAATCATACAAACATAGATCCANTTTGCATTAGGAAAACCGAGTTTTCTTACTTTGTTATTCCTATCCTTTTTCTTGCAACCCACTAACTGAGCCTAACATTACAAGCTTTTAAAGACCTTTTGATTCTTATCTTTGTCTAGTCCTCATTAGTGGAGATTAGTTCGATATTTAGGCTTATGGAGTCCGTCACCATTTGATAAACTTTACATTTTTGCATAAAATAATCCGGGAAGTTGGAATGTGGATTAAAGTGGGGATCACCTACTTGGTGAACTGATTGAGGAAGATAGTCGATATAGCTTATAACTTCTTGGAGTGTTAAACATTTCCTGATAATAATTTTTCAACAACTTTTGAGACTTGAGTAAATTCTAGGCAATTCGTTTGTTAAATTTGAGTCTTGTTGGTTTTTGTTCATTTTTCAGTTTTGATGTGTGTGTGTTTTGTGTTTTGTGTTTTGTGTTCTGTTCATAGTTTGTTGTTTTCGGTTCCTTTAGTTTTGTACTTTATGCTCGGGGACGAGCATATGTTTAGTTTGGGGGTATTTGATAATCCGTGGATTATACTGTTTTCATCAGACTTTTTAGTTGGATTTCAGGTACTTTCTAGTTTATTTTAACCTGAATTGTTGCTTAACTCTTTACATTTCGTGTTTCAGGTTCAAATGGACATTTTGAGCAAATAAGGACAAAATTGGAAATTCTAAACCTAGAAGTAAGCGGATCTCAGAAGTTGGGAGAGTTCTGAAGCAGAATAAAGGACTATAAAGCTAGCTTCCAAGGGAGAGCATCGAGGATCGAAGAATCAAGCGAAGATGCAAGCAGAGTGGCAGTTCTGTAATTTTAGAACTTTTCAAGAACCTTCGCCGCGGCGAAGTACGCCAATCACGAAACATGTCTGCTTCTATCTTCGCCGCGGTGAGATTTCTTCTTCGCCGCGGAGATGGTCGTAAATTCCAGTTTTGTAAAATGCATAGTTTTACTTTGTGCATGTTTTTCTGGGGAATTTGGGCGAGGTATAAAAGAAAACCTAGCCTTTTTGGAAGGAAGTCTTCGAATAGGGTTTGAGTAGCTTTTTACATTTCCTTTGATTTGTTTTTGAGTGATTTAGAGCTGTAACAAGTGTGAAGATTCGATTTCGAACCAGGGGATTCATCATTTGGGGAGATTTCTTGTCTTTTCTCTCATTTTCATTATGCTAAACTTTAATATTATCGTTTTTCTTGTTTGTAGTGTTGATTTATCTATGAACTAACCCATTTTGGGTTAGGGTTTTGATTGTAATTCGGATTTTAATGGGTTAAGTGATTGATTGTTTTATTTTCATATGATTATGCTTTGATTGTGTGTTTGCTCTGAATTTAAAAGATTTATGTGATGAACATGGTGAGATTGAGAAATGAATCATGTTAGGCTTCTTGGGTAATCACCATTGTAGTATTGGATGATAGAGATAGATTCAAAAAACAATGAAATCATTATAGGATTCTTAAGCTTAATGAGCTTGGATTTATAAAATTTCAAATTGTTGGGTGCGGAAAGTTAATAAGGAAGAGTAGGAAAACATAGCCTGAGAAGGTATGTTTAACACTTTGGAGAGTTCGATTTACAACCAATGCATATGAATATGAATTTAGTTTAATTCTTAGGTTTAACCTATAAAATCTGAATGAAGTCAAAACCCTACCCGTTTGTTTGAATTGATTTTATCCCATTTAAATCTTGCTTTCATAGTCTAAGTTTAGTTTAGTAAGATTTTGTTTTAATCATAGTTTAAATTGCTCCCTTTTATCCAAAAAGAAATCGATTGCTCCAACTTGAGAATAGTAGGAAGCTTAGTGCTTAGCTAACAATCCTCCTGGGAATGATACTCACTCACCACTCTATTACTTGAGCGACTAGTGCACTTGCTACATTTGCATGTTGTAGAAAACACATATCAAAGTGTATTTTGGTAATTTCACAGTGCAATTAGATTTGTTGAGGTC